TTTTTTTAAAAAAAGTAACATACTTCTTAAAGCTAAAATAGTGCCAGGAAAGCAAATCAACATCTGGATTTGGCATCCAAAAGACCTGAATACTATCTATTTAATCCCTTTTTAAATATCTTTATTTGAGCTAAAATCTTTGTTGTGGCAACAGTGACTTCTTATTGCTACTGACTTTTTCTATTTTAACATCTAATTGAATTAGGAGAGAACCCCACATAAGACACACAGGAAAAAAAAATGCTTTCATTGTTGGTAAATGTGTTAAATAACCCAACTTCTTTAGAAGAATAAACTCAAATAATCCAAATAACTTCACTTACCAAAAAAGAACCTGTTGTCTTCATAGTATTTGTTTCCATACTTATCTGTCCCTACTAGAGTACCAATCTTCAGATCATTGACCCTGTAAATTCCCAAAAGAAACAGAATAAAATCTCTAAGTTATGTTTTACATATATGTATGTATGTATGTTATAGTTAAGTGATAGCCTACAGGCTTTGCATGCAGAAGGTCTCAGGTTTAACCTCTGCCATCTTCAGATAAACTCTGAAAGTCTGGAGATCACTGTTAGATGAAGTAATAAGAGCAAAAATATCAGTAATATAAGGCAGCTTTGGTTGGTTTTACTTTCCAAATATCTTATTGGGGCAACCCAATGGATAAGAAATTTTTTCAGTTGCTGCTCCAAATAAATAAAACTATTAGGCTTATGGGGGAAGATGAAAATAAAAATGCCCCCAAATATACTATTATTTTATTAGCATATTCTGTAAAACTTAATACTGTAGAAGCATTATTTCTACATAACTTGCTTGCAACTATCAAGTTATCTGCCAAATTAGTTTAGTCAAAATAGTGTTTTGGGTAGCAGCCTAAAAAATTATCTGCAGATAATCTTAATCATCTACCTGTTCACCTCCAAGTGACCAGAAAACTTCCCTGTGTTATTTAAACCATTGTTATCCCTTCCTTTAGCACAGCGCCGGTGAAACAACCAAGGCAAATGTGTTTCTTAGTCCATAATCACAGTAACCTTGCAAAATACTGAGGTCGAGAGACAAACAGCAGCTCGAGGTCAGAGCTGGGGCAGGTAATGACTGAATGCAGTCTAGGCCTCCCCAAATCTCGGACGGCGCTATGACAGCCCCAGCGTTTTGGTCCTCATTTAGTTTTCACACGGATCCTTTTACCCCCTAGACAAGAGGAGCCCAAAGTCAGAGAAAGCTTTCCAAAAGTGACCTTCCCAGCGGGCTTTGCAGCAACTACAAGGTCACCCTAGTTTCCATCCTCGAGAGAAGCCCACTCCGGAAACCGAAGGCCAGCTTCCCTTCGGCCCTTTTCTGCTTAAATCACGAATTTCTGGAAATACCCTACGGGTTATGTCATTCAACCCAGCGAGCCGCAGTCTCCAGCAGAGCGCTCCCCAGCTGGAAAAGACCGTCCACCCTCGTTCTCCACGCTGGTGCAACCAGGACGACCTTTTCACCTGAGCAGCTGCCACATAGCGCCACGAATGCCGCCATGTCCACCGAGCTGTTGCAGCGCCCTCTTCATCACCTGCACGTACTCCGCCATTTTCTCTACGCCCCCGGAGCTCCGGCGTCTCCTGGACTCTCTTCTGCGCCTGCGCCGCGCCTCCTCTTTCCTTGCTTTTGCAAGCGGTTGAACGAGGAAGGCGAGGGAAGCTGTCCGACTCCGTGCGTGTTACTTGCTCGGCTGCGCGTGCAGAAAAAAAGGCGAGATAAATTTCAGGCACAACTTAAGAGCAAAGCAGTGAATTTTTGTGACAAAGTTGAATACGAGAAGAACGAAATCTAACCATTTGGGAGTACGAGTTCTACCTCGCCATCTTATATTTTCAGCGTCGTTATTACCCAAATACGCATCAGACTATCAACTTGGTGATTATTTCTGTTGTGCTTTCAAACTTGGTATACTGTATCTCAAAACAGGAAACCAAATTAAATTATAGATGGGGAAAGCAAACATGTTAACGAGTCAGCCATAAACAACAGCTGAAAAAAACATAAGAGCCGAAGTGTGATCATTCACATTAAATTTCTGTAAAATATTAATTATAAACATGAATATATTGAACTGTAATATTAATACAGTTCACCTGAACTATTTTTTTAAAAAATGAGATTAACAGGATACTATAATAAAAGTTACAATTTATTTTTTAAAAATACAGCCAAAATAGAATTTACACTTCTTCAGGTTTCAAGACATTTACAATAGTATATTATACAACAAGGTAGTAATTGGGACATTCTGATGTGTACACTAGAAGTGAATCACTAAAATGAATGAAAAATTGGAATGGAATACAGAAACAATTTCTATTGACTGCAGAACACACATACTGACACCATTTAGGGAGGTGTGCAATTCAAATGATTTTTAATTATGTTTTAAAACAGGACAAGTTATATATGCAAGATGTTCCCAAAAATACATCATCAAAAAGCTACAACTGTAGATATGATTAATATCTGCATGTGCTCAAGTGTGTGCATATATTTTGTGTGTGTAAAAAAAAACCCTAATTGTTCAGTTCATTATTAGGTGTTTCATTGTGAAATATATAAAAGATATCCCTTTCTATTTAAATAATTTTTAAAACTTGGAAGTAAATAATCTTACCTATCACATTACATAACCCCCTTTTTATTAATTAGTAAAGCCCATAATTTGACAAAGGTGGTTTTAATTGCTGATTAACAATATCTGAAATAAGGGTGAATTGACAGAACATCACTATATCAGCAACCCCTGATACAGTAATATATTGTATTAATGCTCAACTAACTTTACTAAACAATAACTAAGGAAAAACCAGACCTTTAATAAATCTGAAAAGTGCATCTGGAAAAGGTTTTCAAAAGCTGAAAATACAAAGCAGCAAACAAACATGGAAACATAAAATATGAAATAATTAGGATTCTAGTGCAATCACTGCTATTTAGGAACAACATACCATTCAGTATGTATTACAAATATTTCATCATGGTTTACTTGTTTATTCACTTATCACCTTTTCATAAATTTTCTCTAGTCTTATCTGAATTATTTTATGAAAACCTGAAAGTTAAATCTTGAAAGACACAGAATTGAGAAAAGAAATTCATTTCCAATAACACTCGTAATTTTTAGGTTGTATCCAGTAGGCTAATTCTGATGGTGGAACAGCATCAATCTGTGGAAAAATTCTTCCTCTATCTTTCATTTTCTCTGTGTTCTCCCCAAATCTGCTCCAGGTTTAAGGAAAGGGAGCAAACCTGGGATACACAAGGATGTAGAAAAGGAGAGAGGGAAATTACACTATGCAAGCATTGTTGCTCACATAACATTGAATGTGGTTGAATGTGTGGTTTCACAGACTTGCATACAAAATTCAATAAATTTCTCCAAATTTATCTAGATACATGTTGATAAACATTATTAAAGCAAGCATAATTGGCAATGGCAAATTATTCTGTGTTTATAAATAACAGGCTTTAGGAAATAACAGTTCTTGATGTGATTAAAATATCTAGGATTGTTTTTACTAAGAAATCTTATTAGCAACTGATATAACTCTGAACGTAACAATTATTTGTACTTCAAATTAATCTAAGTACTGCACAAGATGTAATCATTGATTTGGGACACTATCAGGAGATAATGCCCTATTTGTTTAAGTAACTCCAAAATCACCTGTTACTGAATAAAAATTTAACTTGTGAAAAAACGCTACTGAAAGTTATCCAGAACTCTGAATCCCATCAGAAATGAAGGCAGAAATGAAACTGACAAGAGAAAACTTGTAGAAACAAGATACTGAATCCAGAACATTTGGGGGAAAAAAGTTTATTTGTCCTAGTATCAAGTTGAAATGCTTTTATGAAACTTCTCTTTTTCAAAGGTTAGCTTTTGTATATTTGCTTGGAGTTCACAAGTTCCATGTATAGCTAAGCTACAAAAATAGGATGAACTACACTTCTTGATTTTCATTAGTTATCAGAAATGTACAAAGTTCTTGAAAATCAGATAAAAGGTAAGTCATCCTGTACCACTGAAGATATTCCATTGTGTTTTCCAAATGCATTGCTAAAGCACCTTCCTTTATTTTTCGTGCTATGCCTTCACAGGAAAACTTTTTTTTATCTCTTGGAGATAAGTACATTTACAGTTACCATGATCACCATGGTATAGAACCTGTGGTTTAATGTTTTTTTATATAGTATGACCAATTATTTGAGAGTTGTAGTCTGCAGTCTCCATTCGTAGAATATATGGTATGATACTGTCAATCTGAACATTTCCAATTAGTCCTGCAAAAAACAGTTCTTCTGTGATAGCTGCACTCATCAGTCTTAAGGCCGGCAATCTGAGAAGTAGCCTAGAGAGCCTGGAAGATAAATTTGACAAAGAGTGGCACACTTTTACATGCAAAGACGAAACTGATTTTTTAATACCATCAATTATTAGGAAACAAAAACTATAGTTTTCCAGCAATACATGCTAAATCAAACCATTCTTATCTTTCATGATACAACTCCTGTTAGCAATTCCTCAAGCTAGACACATCATTTCTGGGATTGTTGACAGGTACTATCCGAGCACCTCCTCCCTCCCCACCTGCTCCAAAGCACCTTTTTCCCTTTGAATCCAAAGTGATGAACAGCACTACAATTGCAATTAAATCTGAATATTCTATCTGTGTAAACTTCAATACAATTTATACTATGGATTAGCAGGAGCAGCAATTATACAGTTTGAATGATAGCTTCATTTCGGTCAGCAATCATCTTAAAACAAGATATAGCAAAATCCAGCTATATCATATCCAGTTTATTATAAGTAAACACATTACAAGCATATTAGAAGTCAAATAATATGGCACTGCATTCTATTAGCACTAAAACTAAGAGGTAAAACTAATATTTAAGATAAGGTTAGATTTTTAAAAATGATCCATAAAATTAGTTATAAGTGAATTCTAAAACTAGATACTGTAAATTACAATATAAACATAAATCCTACTATAAAATCTAATAATCTAAGATTAATAAGCGAACAATTGATAGTTCATTCATATACGATCAAAGATTGAAGGAGCAAACATGAAGATGTTACTCAGGTAGACCTGAAGTCAGCTGGTTGCACAAATTCAGAGCTGCTGTGCAAAATTTTGCAACATTATGTATAATAAGGCTCAGGAATTATATACGTCACTGTTTTGATAGCTCATCCTAGCCCTGGGTGGCAAGGGACAAATACTTGCTAGGAAATTCTAATCCTGAATTATTACATTTCATTCACATACTTTTGCTCCAACTTTTGCAAGTGATTCGGTCCTAAAAACTACAGAAGATCAAAGGAGGATTAGGCCAAGTAATTTTTTAATCCAGCAGTCTTCCTCCAATAGGAAGCAGCCAGATGCCACTGACTAGTTCACTAGCACACTAGACAGTATACCCAAGTATATGTAACAGCATATGTAACAGCAGACAGTCTGTATTGTCAATACAATAGCCTAAACAGCCATGGAGATAAAACCATGGAAGATGGTTCTTGTGTTTCCTTTGTAGCAAAACAGTGGCCTGTTTCACAATATAGCTAGCAGTTGTATTTATTAGCTGTACCATATGAAAAGCAAGATGCTTAGAAGAATGCCACACCAGCAGTAGGACTGAGATTTGGACTTCCTTCAGGCATTATTTACTAAGGGAAAAAATCTAATTAGTCTGAATCCTGACTTTATAAGATCTTCTTACATAAATAGTAGTTGATTCAAACAATATGCTATACTTTAAACCCTTACTCATAGATGGAGTTTTTCTACCATAGGAAAAAGGGTTCAATGTTCAAGTGAGCACAATATTGCCTGAAACAGACAAAAATTTTACAAGTGGTACTAACTTTGAAATATTTATTTGTACAAAGTATCTGACAGATTGTTGATTTATGTACTCTTCCATGGCACCGCTTACTTTTTTACACTAATAAATATCTAAAATTTGTGTGCAGCCCTACAGTATTGATTTTTACTAGATTATATACAGCCTGTAACTTTACACCCTACTATTTTTTTGGGAGGGGGGAATCAAATATGTATGTAAGTTTATATCTACTTTTCATTTAATGTTACTCCTGCAAGAAAATGCAACAGTGCAACACTCCAGCAATATCACCCCACAGTGAATATAGGAAAAAGCTTGAGGCTTTCCAAACAAATTTTAAAACATAAAAAAAAATTGAAAACAGCTACTTGTACAGATTCTACACACCTGTAAGTATCATCTGGATATACTTTCATTACATAATCCTGGAATTCCATATATGCCTTTTCTTGAAATTTTTCAATCTGTACCACATTTTCTAAGCCTGGGTGATCTAAAACAAATCTACAGTTATATTTATTTCAAATAATATGGCTATAAGGAAGCAACCAAACATACTTTATGGCAAATATTTTAGTTTTAAAATTGTCGAGAACTAGAACTGTAACATTTACAATGACTTTGTTGGAATAATAACATTTTATTTGAATAGGCAGAGACATCAGAATTCAATGGTTCCCATAGAAATGTATCAAAACCCCAAATCTATTGAAGTGAAAAATGCTTTCTAATCCACATATGGGAAGGGTCACAGTCCTTGTGTGGTAACAATCACATTACAAAATTGGTTCATTTCTTCCAAAATCCATCCAGAGTAGAGGGTAGCATTATATATTAATTGAAGCCTTCTAGGCAACCATAACAGATTTCCAAGAGGAACCCTGCCTCCCCAATAAAATGAAATAAATCTTGAGATCTTGCCTCAGATTACTAACATTTTGTGAGATTTTGATAATCTAGCATGAGATTTTGTAAGATTTTCATGAACTGCCAGTCCCAATTTAAGGATGACCCCACAAAAAACATGTTACTGAGAAATATACATTCTCAGATTCTTCAAATTGCTCCACTCCAGCATCATGTCCATGTAAATTCAATATCAGTCTTGGACCACATCCACAGCCCAGATCCTGATTTAAACTAACTGAGATGTCCATATATCCTTTGTTAATAGCATTGTATGGTTAGGTTGTACCTATGTATTGATGAAATGGAATCTGAAAAACTTTGATGATCTCAGTCAACATATTCATAGAAAAGTTAACAACTATGACACAAGATAGTTCCCCTAAGAGGAGAACATTTCCACCCAAAATATAATCAAATATGTCTGGAGCAGATGTATTTGGAATTAGTGTGATCTCAAGTAAAATAGCTAAGGACATCTGCTTTAACAACAAGAATTTCTCAACCTAAGAAAACTGGATGGTTAGATGAATTTAGTTAAAGCAGCCATGCATAAGAATTTATATACGAGAAGGTCACTTTTCTATAGGCCATATTTTCACACAGACGGAACAAGGACAAATGCTTTAATTACATCTTTACATACCAGGACTGAAGAGGACTATTGCTTTCAAATAAGCATATTCATAACCATCAAGACAAAGCTTCACCATACTGTTACAGAACTCCTGCAGTTTGAAGATATGCTCCATCACTAGCTTTCCTCTATCTGCTGACAACTTATCTACATTAATACAAAGCAATACAAAGGTTCTTACCAATTTAGAATTTTAAATTATTTTAAATTTAAATAAATTTAAATTCAGATAACCACTGTTACACTCTCAATTTAAAAAAATAGTTAATTGCACTTTTCACACTGTCTGTACAACAATAATGCTTAGTATTCTGTCTGTAGAAATAAGACATAATTTGCATATATATTCTCTATTACAGTTAACTGAAGTCTCAGCTAATTCATTGAGATATACTAATTAATTACAGATGAACAGAAATAATGAATGTATGAAATGATAGACAAAGATAGTGTGATAGGAAAGTGATATAAGAAATAAAGGGGGAATTAGAATTGTTTCTACATTTATTCTTTCCCCTCAAATTGCCATCTTTTGTTCATCTGCTTTTCGCATAACATCTAAGTACCACTAAACATTTCCTTATTCTATGTTTTTTCTGCACTATTATTATTGGCAAAAAAAATAAATAAATCATACCAGCATATCCAGGGTAGAGTAGTAAAAAATAGCTAACACTTTTTAACCCATTTAGCCCAAGAGGTTAGTGATTTACTGCCCTTTTTTTAGCCAGGTAATGGTGACTATTTCCTATTTACTCTTACCTTTATAATGAAGTAATGCCATTTCTATTTTACAGAAAAAGTTTGAAAGCAGCAATTCTTTTTCTCAGGAATACATTTAAATACACATTTATCAATTTAGCATTATTTATATTACCACAGAGTACATTACATTTGACAGACTGCCATTAAAGATGAAGTTTGAAAACTAAAAGTCTAAATTTGAAGAAAGAACAAGAAGAAAAAGGTACATGTGGCAAAACCAAATATAAATACAATTAGATGCAAGTAGGTCTTAAGATTTCAACAGCAAAACATAAATGATAACACAAATTACTGAGACTACCCATAACCATTTCAGACACTGGTAAGAATATATTTACCTGGTTGTAAACTATTGTGAAGGTGATTAACAAATGCAGTTAATATAGTTGCTACATTCATTACTTGTGAACACTGTGCAAGACCAAGGGTAAAAAGTTCATTCCAGCAGGCCTTTACTAATGATATGCTATTATCTTGCCTATTAAAAAAAAACAGAATTATATTAATGAAAATGTCTGCTTGAGTTCAACATATAATGTGCATAATTCTGATATGCAGTCTTTCTCATTATACAAGGAAAGTTCCTGGCATACTTTTAATGAAATGTGTCTCATCAATAAATTTAGTGCAGGAATCAGGAAGGAAAAAAAAGGGGGGGGCATTGGCTATTAGTTGGTTCACACACATCACACAATGCCATAAAAAAAGCTTTATAAACTACAATGGTTGGATTCATACAATATATTAAATCAAACCAAATCAACCACATTATAGTTTAGCATTAATGCATTTAAATCCACCCGAGTCATATGATAAAATTTTTCTCTGTGGAATACTGTATTTAAGATGCTGATCATCTATGTAGTACCAGTTCAGTTGCAGATATCTGACATGACAGAAACTGAAATACAAACACTTGAGAGAAGCCAATGTCTGAAAATGTTCTAATAAGATGAAAATAATGTATCCCCCTTACTTGGCCTTTCGGGAATTGCATTTGGATAGTATCAGATTGGAAAAACCTAGGTTAAGTTCTTGATACTTTTGATTTAAAATGTGTTTGAGCCTCAAATAATATAAATCAATGTTATAAATCAAGAAATCAATCAGAAAAAATCCTGGTCTTACTTTTTTGTTTCTAAAATGAAGGCCAGAAAAAAAAAAAGTTATGCCACTATGCCTTTTTTCTGATGTGTACGGCATGAAAAATTGCAAGCAAGCTTCAATGATTTTATTTGGTCATGGCAAGTGCATCATCATACTCTGCTAAGATGATCTTGACAAAGTAAACTATTATGGCCAGAGTATTCTGGATACTTTGCTTATTTTACACAACTGTCATAATTAC